ATCTAGTTGTCTTGTGTGCTCCCAGAGGCATCTGGTGGGGCCACTGTGAGATACAGGAAGTCGCACTAGATGGTCCCTTGGCGTGATCCAGCAGGGCTCTTCTTCTTTTCTTATGTCCTGGTACAATTTTCATGCACTAGGATTACTTGTTTTTAGATACCAGCACAGTTTGGAATATTTAGTACTTCTTTCCTATCACCTTACATTTGCATTTTAAAAATACCCAAAAAGAATACATCAGAAAACAAGCACAAACTGCACCTTTTCGTGGCCCATGCCAGGATGCTCACATCTGTCAGCTGCATAAAATATGAACTAAAATATTGTTCAGGTAGATAGTTGTTTAAAATAGTATGCATGTGAAACTCGACTTATTTGTTTCTAGAAATATACACCCATCGCTGGAAATTGCACCTTGAATAAACGAGCTGGAGGTAATGGGAGATGCTGCAGGAAGGATGGAGGGAGGGAAGTTGTGTTGGTAAAGATGTTTGTAAAAGGCTTGGCTGTTTCTGTCCCTTTAAGAATGATTTTGCTGGTCTGTGGAAGGTGGAGAGAAGGGGAGGACCTGATCATCAGGCAGCTCTTCAGGCAGGAGGCGTGTATGTGTGTGTGTCTTCAGTGTGGAAGGGATTGTCACTCTCGAATTGGCCTTCTCAGCCACACTAGACGCTGTTCCAAGTCCTCCATATAGAGCACGTTACCATAGTCTCTCGAGACTGAAGGATGCGTAATCGATGAGAAAGAGAGAGAGACTGAAGGGGCACAAAGGGGAGGGCTAGAGGGAGAGAAAGGTTGGGAGAGAAGCACATCCTAACCAGAATGCTCCCTAGAATGCACCCCATTTATTACTGAATACTGACCTGTCTCTATGCTTTATTTGAGGGCAGAGGGAAGAGACCCAAACTCACAATCCCACACAAGGTGTGCTGTTGCAGGCTGTCTCCCAAATGGGAACACAATCAGCATTTCAAATAGTCCCATGATTTGAAATCAAATCCATTTAGAATGGAGCATGGAGGGGGGAGATAAATCTACATTATTCCCCCCCCATTAGCTCCATTCTAAATGATTCTAATTTATGTTAAGCCCTTATTCTACTTTATGTTACAAACTCTTTGAATTCCTTATTTTTTTAAAAAAATGAGTACAGCCATGTAGTGGCCGGCACCATTCTTTCCTCCTCTCCAATAAATCCCGCCCACCAGGAAGCTTCTACATTTTTTGTTGCAGGATTTATCACACAACCGGTTTACAGTGGCAGCCTGTGTGCATGTAGTACTCTAATACGTTTCCTGCCAGGTTGGCTTGTGTTGCTTCCACCAGTGATGTTGTTTACTTGTATGTCTCTTTATTATTATTTTTTAATTCAGCGAGTTGAATGTTGATGCATTGGAAAACTTTTGTCCTTGCCCTGTGCACTTCCCTTATTTGCAGATCCTTCCACCAGGTGGCGCTCCTTCCCCTGAGCGCTTTCCTGTTTTCTTCTTGGGGAACCTCATGGTAGAGCTGCTATGAGAACAAAGCCCAACTATGTTTCTCTGCTACAAGAGGCATAAACGCAGCAGAGAAGCTCATACCCACCAAGGAAATGCTGCCAAAACACTGATGTAATTAAACACAGTTTTAAAAAAGAAAAGGAAAAGGAAAAAGGGCTCCAGAATCAAAAACAACCTAGAGGGAAATATTCTGATACCGAAGTGTAGCCGGTCATATCGCATCGAATTTAGGGAAATGTTACAGTAATCCAAAAACACCGTAGAATGCACACCCCTGGATATATGTCACATGATAACAATGCACAACTGCTCAGGGAGTGAAAGACTGAAGAAAACAAGGACGTTTCACTGGTGTGCCCATGGCCTATATGGATACCTTGATTTTCAAGACTGGTTCCTGGGACAGAATGTTAGAGTATATTCAAGATATGCGGATGTGTTCACGGCAACATGAAAGCTTTTAAGAAGCTCCAGCCTCCTTTGCAATAAATCCCACCCACCAGGAGGCTTATACTTTTGTTGTTGTGGGATTTATCACAAAACTGTTTTACAGTGGCAGCCTGTGTGCATGTGCCAATACGTTTTCTGACAGGTTGGCTTGTGTTGCTTCCAGTGACGTTGTTTGCCTGTATGTCTATACTGTATATCTATATATAGACATACAGGCATATAATATATATTAAATATATATTAAATAAATATATTTATATTAAATATATATAGTGAGCTGAGGATGCATTGGAAAACTTATGTCTTCACCCTCTGAACTTCCCTTATTTGCAGATCCTTCCACCAGGTGGCGCTCCTTCCCCTGAGCTCTTCCCTGCTTTCTTCTTGGGGAACCTCATGGTAGAGCTGCCATGAGAACCAAGCCCAACTATGTTTCTCTGCTACAAGAGACACAAACGCAGCAGAGATGCTCATGTCCATCAAAGAAATTACATTGGTGCAATGGATTTTTTTTTTTTTAAAAAAGGAAAGGAAAAAGAAAAAGGGGCCCCAGGGTAAGAAACAACCCAGAGGGAAATATTCTGGATCTGAAGTGTAGCCAGCTGGTCATATTGCATCGAATTTAGGGCAATGTTACAGTAATACAAAAACACGGCACAATGCACACCCCTGGATATATGTCACATGATAACAATGCACAACTGCTCAGGGAGTAAAAGACTGAAGAAAACAAGGACGTTTCACTGGTGTGCCCATGGCCTATATGGATACCTTGATTTTCAAGACTGGTTCCTGGAACAGAATGATAGAGTATATTCAAGATATGTGGATGTGTTCACGGCAACATGAAAGCTTTTAAGAAGCTCCAGCTTGTATGCCGTGGCCTTACCAGATCCTTTTGGTCCTAGTCTTTGCACCAGTAATCTCAGAATGGAGTACTTCAATATGCTTTACTGAGGAAATCCCCCGGAAAATTGGCTGGTACAAAATGCAGCCATTTTGATGTTGGTGAGGCCAGAATGTCTGACTATTTTGATTACAAGGAAAGTGCTAGAAAACTTCTGGTCTGAATACAAAGTGCTGGTCTTGAATTCTAAAGCCCAGATTGCATTGGGAAGGTTTGTTTGTTTAGCAGCTTTCACCCATATCGTTCGTAAACTGTAACCTCTGTTGTAAGATGTATATAAATGAATGAAGAACTACAAATTGTAAAACACTTAAAACTCAGAACACCAAAATACTTGGTCACATTGTGAGAAACAGAAAGTCTAGCTTCTTATAGCTGATCATTCAAAATAAAATAAATGGGAAAAGAAGTACAGGGGCAGGAATAGCTTCTTCGTTAGAGATCCCAGAACCACATCATTTTTTAGAGCTGCATCATCCAAAATCAGAGTGTCCATGATGACTACTTTCCAACCACCAGTAGATAAGGAAAAACAGGAAGCCTTCATTGGAAGTACAACAGCAGGATTACAGTGGAACATTCAGAAGGTTAAAAAAAAGAGTGCACATTATGTGCTGTCAAGCCAAAACAGACTTATAGCAACCCTAATAGGGTTTTCAAGTTAAGTGAGGAATTTTAAAAGAATGATTTTACTAGTTTGACTCTCTCAGTGAGTTTCCATGGCCAAATCCTATTCCCCATACTCCTGGTCCAATGACTATGTAAGGACAATGTAGCTTTAATGGGGGCAATGAAGAAAATGAAATATTTTCTGTACATTGGCTCAGTCATCAATCCTAATGGAGACTTCAGTCAAGAAATCTGAATCATGAGAATTGGAAGGGCAGCTGTGAAGGAACTACAAAACACCCCAAAGTCTGAGGATGCCTTGCTGAAGACCAAAACCAATATTGCCCATATGTACTATGGGATTCCCAATTGGTACGTATGCAGATGAAAATTATACCAAGAAGAAAGCTGATAGGAACAAAAAACAGATTGATTCAAAAAGTAGTGTAGGAGAGTTTTATAGATACCATCAACATCGAGAAAGACAACAAAATGGTAGCAGCTCAAAGCAAGTGTGAACTTTCTCTAGAAAGAAAAATGACTATATTGAGGCTATCATATTTTGAACACATCTTAAAAAGAGAAGTATTACTAGAAAATGCAATAAGGCTGGGAAATGTGGAAGGCGATAGGAACATTTGAAAACACAAAATGGTGATATTGAGGGAAACCACAACCTTTAATTTGCAAGATTGGAGCAGCCAGTGAATGATGAGGCCTTCTGGAGACAAGCACTACTTTGTACGGTCCCAAGAATCAGAAGCAACTTGGCAGAACATAAGATGCAATATGTTTTAGAAGTAGTTTTAGAAGAGGTAGCCTTGTTAGTCTGTGCAAGCATATCACACAAAAATAAAATAAAATAATAAAGAGGACAATGTTTTGTCCAGTATGTTTTAGAAGACATAGCCCTGTTATTCTGTGCAAGCATGCTAGGCAAAAACAAAACAAAAA